GACGTTGACGCACATGAAGTTCTCCCCGGGACACTGCCGGTCGTCCCGGCAGTCGTTAAAGTCCACGCACGACATGCCATCCTGCGCCAGGTTAAAGCCGTGGTCGCACATGCACGCGTATGAGTCTCCGTCTTTGTAGCAGGCTTGCGCGCAGTGCAGGGCCACACACGGGTGGTCCGCGCCCATCACCTCGCAGGTGACGTTGTTCGTGGGGTTGACGGTCTGGCCCGACGGGCAGAAGCAGACGGGCCTGTCTTTGGGGTTCACCGCGCACCTGTACTCACACCCGCCCTCGTGTATCTCGCAGCTCCAGGGTGCCTGCAGCCACTGCTCGGTGAAGCAGACGTATTTGGTCTCGGCCGGCATCCGGATGGCGGTGCTTCCGGGGGGCAAAGACAGCACATCCTCGCCCACAAACCCCATGGGGGTCCTGTAGGTGACGGACTCGCCCTGCGCGGCCGTAAGACCTTTGCACGGGTCACTGAAGCTGTACTCGCAGAGGAACCCGGCCAAGTGTTCCCCACACGGTTCCGGGATCCATTGAAACTCGTCCTCTTGGGAAACCGAGACGCAGCGCTGAGAGGAACAGCTGTCCTCCAAACCCGGCGCCCAGTTGAAGAAGTCGCTTTCGCTGTCCTCGGTCACCCACTGGAAGCCCCTCAGCTCAGCAGCAGAGTCCGGGCAGCCGGTCGCCAGATGTAAGCCAATCCAGTACCGCCCCGTCAAGTTCCCCAACAAGATGAAGAGAATATCGTGGAAGACAGACGACCGCACTGTCATCAAATGTCCTCCCCGGTCTCTGCATCGGTCCTGCGCGGCTGTGAAATCGCTGGCGTGATGGAACACAGTGAAGCACTGGGTCCCGATGCAGTACCCGTTACTCGGCTCTATCCCGCCGGCTCTTCCCATCAGGAAAGTCAACAAGAAAACGAATAGTCCCGTAACGTCCCTCATGTTTGAACCTCGTTGCTGTCCGTTTATGTTATCATACTTCCGGACTCTCATCAGGAGCGCTGTTTTGGATGTATTGCAGCTTCTGGATGTTCTTGCCAGTGACCCCAGTGAAGAGTGAGTTACAGTCCAGTCTTGAGGAGATAAAGGCGTGGACGAGCTTCTCTGCATCTGACAGGGTTAAAGTGGGGCGGAGTTTGGAGATGTTTTTGAGATGATAAAAGGAGGTTTTGCACAGGTGTTTTATATGGTCATTAAAGGTCAGGTAAGGGTCAAACCTAAATCCCAGATTAGTGACTGTGGAGGAGAGGGGGATGACCTGACCGTCAAAGGTGAGATGAGTTATGGAGGATGACTGAACCTGGTGTGGAGTGCCAACAAGGAGGGCTTCAGCTTTGCTACTGTTTAACTGGAGAAAGTTGTTGCTGTCCACGCCTTTATCTCCCCAAGACAGGAGGTGAGACATGACATGGCTGCAGAGGGGCTTAGTGCTAAACTACTGTTATTACTGCTACTACTACTGCTGCAACTATTACCGTACAAACACAAGAATGAGAAGTGATGGATTAATAATTTGGACCTTTTCATTCTAAATATTCTTTTTTTTATTCCATTATTTTCACGGGAGGTGTGACATTTTAGAAGTTATTCTCCAGTCCATCCACGTATATCAATTGAACATGTTATCCAGGCTAAAGTGTGGCTAATGAGTGTGAGTGTGTGAGTAGGACATTAATGGGGTTCCTTATAACAGGGAGCTGTGTGGACGTATTCATATGGTTGACCTGTAGGTCTCCTCTTTCTCCACAGGGGGGCAGTCGGCCCGTGTCTGAGGCAAGACTGGCACAGAGCGCTGCATTAATTCACATTTGTTTTAATAACTTAAGTATAAAACATGCTACCTGCATCTCGTGAGTTAAAGGGAAAATACACATAAATTGTGCGTAAAGTGTCTTTATTCTTTGATCGCTGGGTAACCATAATTACCTCTGAGTTACAGCATATTGAAGAACAGTAGAGCTGCATTCACATGCTCTGACTGTCATGAAGACACAAGACACACATTTAGATGAAACGTGCTGAAACATTTTATTCCTGTTGCACAGCAGTGGAACGTTTCACATACAGTCAGCACACTGAGCACAGATAGTGAAGAGATAGAACTGCTACTGTGTAAAGGGAATACTGCTGTTAAAAATAACCTCATGTGTTTAAAGTGTTTGCAAACCAAATGTTATTGCACTTTTGTTCATATAGCAGTACTTTTAAAATAAAAGTGCACAATACACTACTTTTGAATTCATTATTGCCATAACAATGCGATTAATCGCGATTAAAAATTTTAATCGTTGCCCAGCACTAATATATATATATATAGAGACAGATAAAGCACGACACGTGAATGTACAGGTGAAGCCTCAAAAACAACCACAGAGACAACGAGGTGACTCAGCGAAAACAATTAGGGAGACAGGAGTGATGCAACAGGAGACAATGCCACC